TGCCAAGCGTATGAAATTATCACATAGCTTTTAGTTTTCCTTTCCCAAGTTACACCTTGAAACGGAAATTCTAAAGTACGATGAGAAAAATATAGATATCTAAGGTTTTTGAGTTTTCAATTTTGCACATATATTATTGGGAATCAAGCTGCTTAATTTGGGGTGGGGTACATCTACTGTGTTTTTATTTAGAAGCTTCACTTCAAAGCAATTCCTAAGTTGTGATGATTTATGTTTCTGCGTATGCAAAGAAAAAAAAGGGTTCTATTTTGCTGCATTGAAAGCCATGGATGTGCTTTATGGAAAGATGGTGGCCGTATTGATTGGCATAATCTTTTAAGAAGAATACCTCATTTTGAACAATATAATTTGTTACATACTAGTTTGATGTTTTATGCTTTCCCAAGGTGCTTAGGTTCCAAGCAAAGAAGACACCTACGGAGGGGTAATATGTTGCGGCTCTGTGTAGAGTACTTGCCTCTCTCCATTTCCGCTTATCAGAACAAGGCCTGGTAAAGGTAATAAGGAGGCTTTTGAGTCGTGTGTGTGAATGTGTGCTAGGTGAGACAGATCTTGTAAAGGAGTTGAATCAGATGGCTGATCGTCTTAAGGGACTAGATAGAAATTCAGATCAGGATTTGTCCGAAGATGAAGCGAAGTTTATTTTTGGTAAGTTTCTTACACCCACAGGAAGGTAAATTATTTGATGATTTTGTGCTCTGCATGTCAAATGGAAATTTGGATTGAGAATTTATATAAAATCTGTGTGATCATGTAGAAGTGTTTTATAGAAGAATGCTTTTCTGGAAATAAACTACCAAAAGGATTACCACGTTTTGAATACCAGATGCATTTAAAATAAAATCAATGTTTTAAATAAAAAGCACATTCAAAATCTTGTGTTTGAACCATAATTTCAGCGAACATACCACTTTTGGCTAACTATTATTATTATTATTTTAATTTTTTTCCTTTTATATTTATAGTGGTTGTGTTTTTGGTCATTAACACCTATGTACTCTCTGAATGTTTTGCAGCAAGGTTAGACCTTGAATTCAACTTGGACGTTGATGGTTCCAATGCAGTTCCACAAACCCCAGCCCCAAGCACAACTCGTCCAAGTCGTTTTAAGGGACGAGTGAGACGGGAAGAAGTTAGTTCTTCTGAAGAAAACTCTCCTGCCTCTGTTAAATCTGTGGTTCCGACCATTCCTGGCATTATAGGCCCTCGCTCACAAAGGGCAAGCATGACTGCAGCAATGACCAGGATAACTGCAAGTAAAGCTTCAAGGATAGAAGAAAATTTTGATGAAGATGAAGATGAAGACTCAGATGTCACGTCCAACGATTCTCACGACTCAGATGAACTAACTGACTAATCTCGGGTATGGTTAATTTTCTTTATCTGAACCGTTGTCATTTATCCGCTGGTGCTATGTTCTTGTTTAATTCTTCTCAATATCAATATTAGGCTCCTGTTTTTTGTATATTTTTATCCTCCTAATATTTCCAGTGCACTTGGGATATTGAATTAGGTTTCTCATGTCTCTTGCTTTATTGGTTCATTCTTCTGTCCACCTGTCTTATCTATAGAGGTCCGTTGGTGAACATTGATTTGACGTACCTTTCGGACACAGTTTTTATAGAACTATTGATGTTGCATATCTGGTTCGCATTAAATAAAACCTGCATTCTCAACTGCAGCTTGAAAGTAATGGTCAGTGTAGCTGGACTTATTCTGACAAGTCGTTCATCACCTTCGGTTGGCTAAACATCTTCGGCAACGGTCTGCGAGTTTCATCCTTATGCTTCGCCTTTCGAAACTGTCTCTTTGTCAACAAACTCGTTCTTTCTTCGTGACATTATCTTTCAAAATGTCCCATCAGACGTGTCAATTTTATTGATTATTTTTTAAGATACTATGACGATTCAAGTAAGTTTAATAAATTTTTAAATTAAAACTATACCTAAGTGCATGAAAGTTAAATACAGTGTATAAAAAATAAGTTTTTTTTAATAAAAAATAAGTTAAATGCATTGAAAAGTAGGTAAATAGTAATAAATCAAGATGTAACGTAAGTGTAATTTGTATAGTGTTTGATGTTTTTACATCACGTTTTACATCTTGAAAACTCATATTTATACTAAAATACATGAATGAAGGAAAGAGAACAAAAAATCAAAAAAGTTACATTAATTGTTGCCTACTAACTTTTTTGTCTTCACGTGCTCAATAATGGGTATACACGTTAGTTCTTTGCCTTCCCGTTGAATTACTCTCTATTTAAATGTTATCTTTCTCTTTTTTTTCTTCATTTTTTTTTTTTAAATTTAACATTTTTATTTTTTTATATTTAAAATTAATTTTTGATTTTTTTAACTTTTTGACATTAAAAATCATTGAAGTTTAGTTTTATAAATTTTTTTAAAATTTTTATATTAAATACATTCAAGTTATTTTTTTTTAATTCTATGAAAATAAAAAATACTCAAACAATTTGGATTTTGGGACGGAAAGAATAATTTACTTTAGATGAAGGTTGAAATATATTCATTATTAATTGAATTTTCTCGGCCTTGAAAATTGAATTATGTATTTTTTATTTCTAAATTTCAGTCATATGCCAAATCTCTGGGCGGTTGATTTGTAACCATTGATAACTTCCCATTATGCTTAAACTTTCTCAAGCATGGTTTGTTATCATAGAGTATTCGAATTTTATTTGGACTCTTATATTTATTTTAGCCCATGGATCCCTCGTTCGTTAGTTTAGAATTATCAAGTCTTCAAGAAGTTTGGGCTTTTAATCCAATTAGTCTTGATTAATTCTATTCTGCATATAAAATGCTAAGCCCCTTGTGGTTTGGGCTCTTAATTAATTAGTAAATCACAAATTAATTTTAATCACTGACCTAATACACTTAATTAATTGCTCTTGTTGAATTAATATAATTACTTATTTTATGAGCTAAATCCCTGGACTTAATTGTGGGTGTCAACAGTCACTATATAAAAACAAGAAAAAACAAAAGTTATTATTATACTCAAGGTTATGATTATGCTCATATCAAGAGGTTGAGTGAGAGATTTAAATCTTAACCCAAAAGAGAATAAAAGAAGTATGATCAATTTGTTATTCCAAACAAGAAGATGGGTTCTTCTTCTGTCAAAAATTAATAAGATCTATTCAAATCTTATTTCACAAACAAGAAGATGATTTATGCAGCAATCCCATATGCAATTCAACAAGGGAGTCAATAATGGAGGGAAGAAAAGGAGAAATGGTGAAAAATTAAAACATCCCTAAAGTTTTTTTTTTTAAAATAAAGTCTAATTACGGTTAAAGCTGAAACAAAGGGTTTGTACTTTAGGTGTATGCTCTTAGTTATACACTTCTAAAAAAATTATGATTTTTTTTTTGTTGAATGCCTATAAAAATTCATTTTTTAGGATGATCCTAATTTAATTTAAACTCAAAATATTTATATGAAATGTTTGTTTAAAAATAGATGAAAACTAATAGTTTTGGGACATTCTAAAACAAAAAGATGCACAACAAAAATGAGATAAAAAGATAGTAATTAATTTGTATTTGTTATAATAATATTGTTAGTGATTTGTGATCCCTTATCATTTGAAAAGGTGCTACTTTTTTTTTTTTTGTCATTTGATGCACTATTCTTAAGAAATTAAAATGAAAATGGGTGATTGATTATAATATAAATATCACATTAATTAAACAATATCAATAAACTATAATTGACATTTCCAATTAAATAAAGACAAAGCTCAAAGAGGGTGAAAGTAGAAATTAACATGAACAATTTTGTAACCCTAGAATGCGCTGTAAACACTGCCTTTGAATTAGAAATCTTTGGTAGCATTAAAATCTCTATGCTTTCTTCTTCATCGAGAAGTTATTTCATTCACTGTTAATAGAGTTTTTAAATTTCACAAGCTAAATTAGTAAGGTGACACATATCATTTAGAATATATTTATAAAAAAAATTATTTAAAAAAATAAGACATACATAAAACTCTTAATTCAACTTGTATAATTTAAAAATTATACTAATAATATATTAAATATTAATTCTTATTTTAATTTATTTTAAAAAGATTGATAGAAGTGAGGGTTGCCTCCCCAAGAGCTAGTTTGCTACCTCTAGTGAATGCATTTATAGTAAAAGGTTAGTTCCCAATACAAACATAGATGATGTTAGTTTACTTGATTTAGCCTAGGGTTTAGCAAACCTTAATTATAGAGTGTGGGTTAGTCAATGAGGATTTTTTTTTTTTTTTTTTTTTGAGTTTCATGTGAACAAAGGCACAATAATTAAACACCCATGAATGCCAGACAAGATTAGAAGGGAATATTTGGGAGGAATTTACAAAGGGAAAATGGGTAGATTTAGGGTTTACGAAGAAAACATATGAAAGCAAACAAAATTCACTTTTGTATGGGTCTCTCTCCTCTCTAAGGTCAATGGATGTATTATAACATTATCTTTACATAAAATAAAACAAAAAAAAAATAGATTTGGAATATTTAATTCGTTGGTCTATGCAATCACTCTTTAAAATAATATTTAATATATTTAAAATTTAAATTCTACCACTTTACCTTTTTTCTCTCTTAAAATGCGATGTTCTTTGTACAAAAAAAAAATTTATCTCTAAAAAACTTATTAACAAATAATAATTTATTTTTTATCTATTTTGGATAAATTAATTTTTAAAAATTATCTTAAGTATTTTTTACTATATTAAATTTTTTAATATATTTTTAAAAAATATAATAATCTTTTAATCAAGTTCATGAAATCTAAAAACTCCACCCACAAGCATGATATAAATTTTTTTAACAAAAATAGTAGTACATAAATAAATATAAAATTTATAACTCTTGAAAATTGAAAATGTCGTTTATATCCTAATAACATACACATATTTAGGTACTTTTCTACTTTGTCTAGTTTAACCTAGCCTGTGTCCTCTGCGGCTCTGCCCATTTAAACATAGAAATTAAATCCCATTAATTTCTTGTGCGAAGAAAGTCGTATTGGGATAAAAAAAAGACAAAGGAATCTTTATCTCTCTAACATATTTTATCCCGTCGTCTCCGGGGAAGGAAAATCAAAGCCCTCCATGTTATTATTTTAGTGAATCTTTTTTTTTCTTTTTTATTTTGGGGGTTTGTTTTTTTGACTAAAGAGATCAGAGCTTGTGCTAGCTCTTGTTCATCAGAGCTTGTGTCATTTTCCAAGATATCTTCTCGAGGAACATCAGTCCAAACCCTTTCTGGATTTTCTTTTCTTTTCTTTTTTTGCTTTGTTTAATTTCACCTATGCATCATCTCATCTGTTTCTCCAACCCCATGTTTGTTTGTTGAGAAGACACCTTTCTTTCCTCTCTTTAGCAAACACAATCCAAGCTGAAGCTTTCAGGGCTTCTCATCTTTTCTGACCATATATATCTATCAATTCAATCCCTTGAAACATAGTTACTTGTTGTCAAGAAAGAGGAGAAAAGATCAAATACCCTACACTTTTGTCATTTCCTTGGAAAAAATAGGTAACTATTTAGAGAAGAAAAACCTAGCTTTGAAGCATGCCCTTGGAAGGGGTTTTCCATGAGCCCTCTTCGAACCCAATTCCTGATCTTTCACTTCACATTAGTCCACCCAATGTTTCCACTTCTTCAGTAATTAATCTTTTGAACCGACAACAGGTCAGCAAATCTAACAGCAGCAGCTCCATGACCATGAGAAATGACTCACAGGCTTACACCGAGCTGTCTCTTGCACATCCAGCTAGTGCCATGGAGCAGGAGATCAGGCGAAGAAAGTCAGCTGGTGGAGCTGAACAACCATTGCATACCCAGTTCAATCACTTAAATCATGGGGTTTCGGAACTTGATGTATCTGCTGGTGTTAGGGCAATAAAAGGGATTCCACTATATCAAAACCGTTCATTAATCCCAGTCGCACCATTACAAAATCTTTCAAGTGAGAAGGATCCAAAGATGTGCTTCTACCAAATACCTTATCCTTCTTCTTCTCCATCTCTCTCTGTCTCGCCTTACTTTGGAGCAGGATTAGATCCCATCTCCATCTTATGCTCAGCCTCAGGGCCTAATCGATCTTCGCCAGTTGCTTGTCGGTCACTGGCAACAACAACAACAACTAGATTTAATGGGATTTCCATGGATGCTTTAAAATCCCACCAATTGCACCAGCACCCCCAGCATAACCACTACGGAGTTGGATCTTCTGATGCTTCTCATGGACTGATTAGATCAAGATTTTTGGCTAAGCTTCCTTCTAAAAGAAGTATGAGAGCACCGAGGATGAGATGGACTAGCACACTTCATGCTAGATTTGTTCACGCTGTTGAGCTACTTGGTGGTCATGAAAGTAAGATTTCGTGCTTTATTTATTCTGCTTCTTCTAATTATACCTTTTATTTGATATATTATATATATATTTGGATTATTCTAATAAAATATGTTTAATTTGATGGGTTTTTCAGGAGCTACTCCCAAGTCAGTTCTTGAGTTGATGGATGTCAAAGATCTCACATTAGCACATGTGAAAAGCCATTTACAGGTATGCCAGAAATTAATAAAAAAGAAAGAAACATGTTATGGTTCTTTCTCTTTTTTATTTTTTATGAAAGATTGCAATGGTTTGAATGAAGCAACAAGTGAAAGTGAATGAATGAATGAATGAAAAATAAAGAGGGAGAAGCCTGCAACTTCTGAGACCAAAGAGGCAGCTTCTGCTTTAACAGAGAGAAAAAAAAAAGAAAGAAAGAAGAATGGTGTATAAAATGATAAGAGACAAAAGTAGTCATCATTTCTCAATAATACGTAACCTTATCGAACATCGACCTCGTGATACCTGAATCCAAGACAAACCCCACTTTTGGAGAGAGAGAGAAAAAAGGACAAGAGATATATATATATAAACGTGAATGAATGGATGGATCCCTTTTAATCTTATTATTATAAATATTTTTTGTTTTCACTTCTATATATAAACGTTGAAATGGCCTTTCTTTGTTTTGCAGATGTATCGGACTGTTAAGACAACTGACAAGCATGCAGCCTCTTCAGGTAATCCCTATTTCATATTTTGCTTTGCCTCAGCTTTCTTTAGCAGCCTTTTTTTTTCCTCTCCCTCTTCTTACATACGTACATACATACATAGTATACACTTGAATATTGAAAAATCAATTTGGCATTAATAATTTATAATATTAAATATATTATAAAACATTGAAGGTCAATCAGATGGGTCAGGAGAAGAAGATATATCGACTGTTGGCAGTGTCAACCCTGGCCTGCCGGAATTGACAGATCAAATAAGAACAGCTGATATCTCATTTCCACAAGAATCGTGTCACACTCCTACTCGTTGGAGTAATTCTTCAAGGTACCATTTCCCCTCTCTCTCTTTAATTATATATATGAATTTGAATACTCAAGACTGATATGCAGTAGTACTGGCTGGTTTTGCCTTTAACTTTTTCACGGTACAAACAATACTATTAGCTTAAAAAAGCAAACCCACGACCTCCAATTTTTTTTTTTTTTTAAGAACAAAAGGAGTTGTTGTTGTTGTTTGCGCCACAGCTTTAACTTGCTTTATTTGTTTCTTCCTTCTTTTCTTTAGTCTCTCTCTCTCTCTCTATATATATTTTCCTTTCCTTTTGCGGTGAGCTAAGATATGGGAGTTTGATTGGCGTGAGGGCTGACTCAAAAGGTAAAACTAATCAAACACTGAAATTAATTAGGATAAGAGAATGGCTGATACTACTTTTCCTTTTCCTTTTCCTATAATAAGCAGAACCGATCCTATTATAGTAATCATCAATTTCAAACTCTTCTTATTATTATTCTATGATTCTATCCATCCGCAAGGATACCAAAAAGGCTTTTTCTCTCAACTTAGAGCCTCTTTCCCTGAATGCATCGTAGGGGATGCATCTCGACATTCACACTAAGTTGCCAAATATTATCCTTTTTTCTTTTAATTTGTCGATTAGATTTTTTTTACATGTAATTTGAGAATAGAAAAAAAAATTGTATAAATGTTGAGATTTAAATTTAAAACTTATTGCATATTATATTTTAATATGACTGCATGAATTAATTAGATTAAATATCAAGTTCATAAATTAGATTTTTTCCGATATTTTGATTAAGTTAATATTTTCATTTGATAAAAGTTATTTTAAGGTAAAAATTTGATAAAAATTACACATGTTTATTTTGAGATGTAGCTTGTGAATTAAATCTTATTACGACATAAGACTTTTTATATAACGCTAAAGGTATAAATTTTTGCAAGGTGCTGTAAATGGTACTATTGTATAAAGTATTTGAAATAAGTTTTATATACATTATTGCTGTGCAATATAATTTGTAATAGCTTATTGCAAGATAAGACTTTTAATTGCAAAAAGAAAAAAAAATAAATTTTTTAACAATATTATATTTCAAAATTTTTGTTGTTAAATATAAAATTTATCGTAGTTTGTAGTATGATTTCATTAAGATCGATATAAAGAAAAAAAAAACTATTTTAACTGTTTTCACTATCATTTTCTAATACAGTTATATCATATGTACATGCATTGATGATGTTGCTTAGATTCGAATCCCCCATTGGCCCAATGAACAAGGAAAACTTTTAATAGAGGTGTGGGGCTATTGGGTTGGAAACATGTAGTCCCTTTCTTTCAATGGTTGAAATCTAGTGAAGTGCACATTGTTTATCCAAGAAAAAAACATAAAATTGAAGAGCTTTTCAATCTATCTTCTCTTCTTCTTTTTTTTTTAATGCAATTGAAATGCAAAGTAGGGTTTTTCTTTTTTCTTACTTTCTATTTTTCGGTTTGTTTTGTGCATATGAAGACCTAAATAGCATTAGTTTGATAACTAGTTTGATGGAATTCTTCTGACAACTAATAACTTGTTAAATAGAATATTATACATACATACATATACATATACATATATATATATATATACACACGCACCAAGCTTTCAGCATTGATCCAATAACATCACATCGTGTGAACAAACAAAAGCAAAGCCATTTGCTAACTAGTGATCAAATTCTAGAAAAAAAAAAGGAAAGAAAATAAAAAGATACAAGTTTTTGCTAGAATTTTAGGCTACAATTATACATACATACATACCTACATACATACATCTATACATATATATATATATATATATCCAAGCTTTCATCATTGATCCAATAACATCACGTAGTGTGAACAAACAAAAGCAAAGCCATTTGCTAACTAGTGATCAAATTCTAGAAAAAAAAAATAAAGAAAATGAAAAGGAACGAGTTTTTGCTAGAATTTTAGGCTTCATATGTACATACATACAAATATATATATATATATAAATATATATATATATATATCCAAGCTTTCATCATTGATCCAATAACTTCACAGTGTGAACAAGCAAAAGCAAAGCCATTTGGTAACTAGTGATCAAATTCTAGAAAAAAAAAAGAGGAAAGAAAATAAAAAGATACGAGTGTTGGCTAGAATTTTAGGCTTCTTCGGTTTTTTTTTTTTTTTTAATGAAAGAAATTGTCAAAACATTAAAAAAAAGAAATAAAAAATTGAAAATGAGAAGTTTTTAATCACTTTTACTCTCTTGTCTAATGAAGCAAACTGTCAAGTTTCCTTTCCGTTTGGGTACTTTCCTTACTTTATGTTGGTTCCAGAAAAAGACTCAAACATCGAAGATTTCATCATTACTTGTTACAACAGAATAGTAATTATTGATGTGAAGTTTTTGTCTTCTGAAACCACACTTGATTTGGTGGCAGAGAAGCATGGCCGCAAGTTAACTCGTATGATACAGATGGGCTCACACCACCACAATCCTTCCGATCCAGAAAAACTGAGGTAACCCTACCAAAAAAACTTTTCATATATATTTCAGTCAGGATTCAATTTTTACAAGAGAATAAAATTTTAAATTTATTATTTTAAAAATCATTTGAAAAAATAAATTAATACAAAACTTAAAAATATTTTTAATGTTTATAACTGTTGATAAAATGTTGAATTCTTAGATTCAATAATCAAAATTGAAATATTGATAGCCTTTAGTATAAAAGATATAGTACAAACCCAAGCTTTGAAATGTTGCAGGAATATTGTGATACAAGTCCATCGTTGAATTGCAAAAACCCAAACTTGGACTTCACTTTAGGCAGACCAGACTGGATGGGAGACAACACAAATAATTAATTTACTATCATACATTTGATATAGTGTGCTTGGCTGGTTCTTTCCTTGTATTCATAAATGGACATTCATACATGAAACACATGTGTAACATTTTAAATATTAGATACTTTTTTTTTTTTTGAGAGATTGTTTTTAGTGGCTAAAGTTGGTCAAATTTCATTAATATTGTTTTGGGTAAATCATGCTTTGTGACCAATTCAGGATTTAGATTATATTGTTATTTTTAAAAGATAATATCCATCAAATTTTGAATTTTAAAATTTAATATTTACAATATTTTTTTTATAATTTCTATTTAAGATAATATTCAAGGATTTACCACAAAATTTTGATTTTTGATATTTCAAAAATAAATTTGAAAAAACATTAAATCATATAACAGGGCTAAAAACAAGTGAATTAAAGTTATTTTATTATTTAAATTTATTTTATATAAAAATTTTAACAAATTGCTCTAATTTTTTTTATTGATTGATATTTTATTTTATTTTTATTAGACTAGTTATTCTTAGTGATTCACCATGATTATTTGAAATTTTGAAATCAAATAATAATTTAATTCTATTTTCTGTTATTTTTAAGTATTAAAATCTTCTCATATGAAATTTAAATTATATGTAATGATAACTTTTTTAGTGAGATGAAAAAAATTCTCTAATTTAATTATCTTCCGGCTAGCTACATTTTAAGTCTTTTATCTTTGATAAATAGTATCTAATATTTATTTAAGATAAAATAATAAAAATAAAATTATTAAAATTAGGTTTTAATTAATTTTTATTATATTATTTGTTATTTTTTAATTTATAAATTATTTTTGTTTTGATTGTGAATATTTTCAATTCTAGCCAAAACGGAACTTTGCACCGGTGGAAGGCACCTACTATTCTACCACTAGACAAATAGTGCTTTATTATTATTTATTTTATTATTTCTTAAAATATAAAATTAAATTAACCTTATATTTATTATGTATAATTGTAAAAAAAAAATGATTAATTGAAAAAATATCACATTCTTTATAATTTATATGAAATTCATTAGAAGGAGAATTTCAACAATTATTATGTCATGTTGTTTATCATTAACTAATTCATTCATCTAAACAAATTACACAAATTTTTAATTTTCATTAAAACATAAATAAATAAAAATAAAAATAACTTAAAAATTATACTCACAATTTATATGTTTATAAAAAAAAAAACCATATTGAATTGGACTTCAACTTTGATTTATTATTATTAATTGATTCAGCTATTTACCACACATTTGCAGAGCATCACTTACGTAAATCATACTCTAAAAAACATGTTAGAAATAAACATGGGAACAAATTAGATTTGTCAATCTATAATACGACACAGCAACACAACATGAACACAATATCAAACACGAAGATGACATAGTTCAAAATTTTAGCAACAAAAATTTTAACAAAACTAAAATGATACATTTTATGTTTTCATGTCGACACGAATTATTATACGTAATTTTCGTGTATAACACGATACAAATACATGAATTTCAATATTTTACACAACAAGCCAGGTCTAGAATAAACCAAACTCCATTCAGTACAATATACAATAGATCCATAGCAACCATGGTTTCCACTACAAGCTAAGCATCCATCCATCTAGAGGAACAACTATAAGTGTACAACACCATTCATCCATAATGGAATGAAGAACATACCAAAATTTTCTGGAAAATGAAAGATAAGATAAAGAGGAAAATCGAGCATCTTACCAGCAAGTAGACTACGTAATTGGACAACCAGTAATACTATCTCGTTATCTATGATTCTGGAACCATTTCTAAATTGGCAAACACCTTCACATGCTTCGGATCTGTGAACAAGAATCAGCATCTGTCAACATATAGATGCACAGAAGCTGTCAAATAAATAAGCACAAGCAGAACTTGTACAAATATTGAAAGCATCTAGGATTTCTTGAAGATGGGGACTTATGTTCACAAAAGCATTTCAATCTGAAACTTTGTCCAGTTACTGGTAGCGTCGGGCATGCCGAGCATGAGAGTAAGCTGAAAGAGCTGATCCAGTCATGCTCAATGAATGCTTAGCCAGGCCCATACTTTTCTTAGTACCCAACCATACAGCCCAAAAGAATCCAACCCAACCTGATTCATATTGAAATATCAATGGAAAAGCACTAGTTCATATTTTTCAAGTTGCATAAGAAAAAAGCTAAAAACAATATTCACTGTGAAGAATCTCAAGCTTCATGTTGAAACGGGTTGAGATATCAATTAGGATGGCATGGAACACCATAATCACTTAATATTACCCAATTAGGTTAAAAATGCTAACAGTGCCACAAAAGGATGGCAATTGGCGCAAAAGAGACAGAAAACAGCGTGAATAGACTCAATAACAAAACTCCCAGAATGTGCATTACGATGAATCTCAACTTTCCGTTGAAACATCTTACCTCATTGCAATTCCAAGGACAAGACACATCAGAATAGCATGAATTAGTAATTGCAAAAACACACAGCAACCATGGTGCATGTGAGAATGCAAACTCACACACATAAAGGTAACCACTCAAACATTAAGCGAACTTAGTCAATAAAAGGCATATAGGTTATTCTTCTGTGCTTGTTGCTGGGCAAAGCAATACAGCATGAGAGAGGGAGAGAGAGCAAGAGAGACTAATTAATGAACTAATCATGGTGAAGATGGAAGATAGGAACAAATTTACTTTCCAATCTTGTACATCCTAGGTTTCTGTCGTATCTTCTTCTGTCAATTTTCTGTCTTTGCAGCACTGAAGGACCACAAACATACTTGAAGGAGAAAAACATGGAAATAATTTTCCCCAACATAATGTATACAGCAAATTCTTGCTACTTTATTTGGCTTACCATCTAAAACAATCCGTATAAATGCCATAGGACTGATATCCATCCAGGGTCATAGATTCTAGAAAAAATTTATAAAGAAAAAAGTTCAACCCTAATTAGAGAAATAAATGAAAAGGCTTCATCTTGTGGTTACCAAGCCAAACATGAAAATTGGATGTTATAAACAGGAAAAGCAAAATCTAATACAGTGCTTAGAGAGATGTACCTGTAGCTATAAGAACAGCTACAATTGCTGAAATTGTTGCAATTGAAATAACAAATGCAGCAACTGATAAGGCCCCAATATAAATAGCTGTTACACAGGAAAAGAAAAAAGCCAAGAAGCATCCTGCAATTGCCAAAGAGATGAGGAGAGAGATAATGATGGCATTGACAGTTGCAGCAAGAAAGAAAAGCAAAAATACGAGCAATCCTGTCAAGGTAAGAAGAGTAATTGTCCCAACCTGCAGAAATGTTGGTAAAAGGGAAAAAATCAGAGGACTTATGAAGAATGTGAATTAAGGCAGGTAAAGGCAAGAGCACGGGCAAGTGAAGCACAGTAATATATGTGATCAAAATCAAAGGTCACTTATTTATCATAACTAGATATCAATATAAGCTGCAAGAAATAGGAGAAGCTTGGTGTATAAAAGATACACAAAGAAGTTGGAAGCACAACCGTAGAAAAATTATAAAGTCCAGAAGGCACGCAAGCAATTCCAAACTCATACCACAATATGTAACTCAGGTATGCAACCATCATGAATTTAAGTTTTCCATGTCAGTAGGCTAAGAAAAAGCTTATGAAGGAAACAGAATAGGCAGGCATCCAATTTTCAAAGAAAAAATTTGCAGCAGGGAAGTTGAATCAAGTGTAGATGTTAGCATCCAGAAATCTGAAGTACAAGGAAGAAACCGGTGTTGAAATTTCATATATCATTGAACTTTCAAACACTTAAGGAGCTTCAACCCATCAATGCTTTATATGTAACGCACTTCAACTTCCAAGGTCCATTTCTCCCATTTGACTTTAACCATTATCCCACGTTAATATATGGTGACTTTGCATCCTTCCACATCACAACCCTAACATTCTCTTTGATTCCACTTTTCCTAGTAAGGTGTTTGAACAAGAATCATCCAAGCTTCTAAAATGGATGAGTTTTCTTTATTTGTCTTAGAACGGTCTAAATGAACTTTGAAAGAAACTGTTCACTTGATCTTCGCAACTTTAACTCTTAGAAGGATAACATCTCCAATACACTTTTCCTCAAGAGCACATGACAAAGTAAACTACTCATTTATAGGATCTTCTCTTATTGCCTATTTGATTTAACACTACTTTCTTTTTTGTACTCTTTATTTCAGATTTTTGTTTCATATTTATCGTCAATCATTGGAAACAACATAGCTTTGTCTCTTCAAGCCTCTCTGTCCACCCAACCCAAACAAGTGCATTGATATACACACAAAAGAACTCAATTTGAGGATGTTTTTCTCGAAATCAAAAGTAGTCCCATCGTGTTTGCAATCTGTCAACTTAACAATCTATCTCTCACCCCAGGTATCAAAGTCCTCCACAATCCTTCAAAACCATACTCATCAAAGCTCCATTTGGTTGTTGTTCTTGTTATAGCTTCTTTAAAAGTTGCTCTAAACCGAAATCATATTTGATTAAAAATGAACAAAAAAAAAATGCAAGGCCAACTCTAACACAATTATTCTATATGGTAGTAAAATCATGTATAGTGTAGTTTGCAGAAGTGAAATATTGTTACTTTGATTGTTAAGAAATACACCTTTCATTTTGCTTTTCACTTTGAAATTTGAATATTAATAACAATAAGGGTAAATTTTATAAATGACCCATGAACTATAATGAAATGTTCAATATGACATCTAAAATTTAAAAATATCTAATGTGGGTACTTGAACTATAAATTTGTTAACTAATACAGTATTCATTCTAACGTGGTTAGCTCCAAATGATAACATGTGATAGACAAATAACACTCCAAGAATCATATTAGTTAACATATTCATAATTTAGATACCAGAATAAAGATTTTTAAAATTTAAATATCACACTGAACATTTCACTATAATTCATATAGTTGAGGGTCATTTGTAACATTATCCCTAATAATAATAAGCTTCGAATTGAATCATACCCTACACCTTACCCTTTTTATTTATTACCAACAAATTTTTAAGAGAATAAAATCAAATTTGTAAGGAATTTTACAAAATTCACATAGGAATAGCAATGGTGCGGATATCCGCTATTTCTACGATATCTGAATTTGTTTAATATTTATAATATCTGAATCCATTTAAATACCCGTTTAAGTTTAATATCACTATCCAAATTCAAATCCATTTAAATAAGCACTATCAATTTAAATATCCGAATTCATTAAAATATTTGTTTATTTAAATTTTTTGTCAAAATATAAAATAAATAATAATTTAATTTAAAATTCAAGTTTACTTTTAATTAATAACAAATAAAAATTATTTTTTAAGATCCAAAATTTTTTATAGATATAAAATTTTATATATTTTATATGTAAACGGATAACAGATTCGGATATCCATTATCATTCATTAAAATTTAAACAGATTCAGATATTAGATATTCAAATATACTATTCGTATCCATTTCAAATCTGTCTAAATCTTTTATCTGAATCCGTTAATTATCCATTTATAGCTATCCAAATTCGACATAAACAGATTAGGTAATATCCATTTATTTACTATCCATTGCCATCCCTAAATTCACATAAGTTTGGTGAACGAAAGCAAGCAATGATTAAGAATGCAGTATTTTTAGTAATCTATCAATTCTAAAGCAGAAGAAAAGATCAAGAAATTATTTAACTAAATAATTTTAAAAAAAGCCCTCACAGAAACGACGAGAAGAGCACGAAGAGGGCTGCCTCTACGAGCCCACTGTAGAACATTCTGGCCAGTGTTTCTTGAGGCTTCGCCGAGACGAGGACAATTCTCAGAAGTGGAGATCTTGATCCGCTGCAGCAGAGAATTGGATGCAGATGAAGCCGCATCCGGGAAGATGATCATCGAAATCAAACGGTGGAGAACGACGTAGAGCGTTTCTTCCCCATGGCTGCCCTTGTTTTCGTCTACGGTCGCGTCGTTCACTGGCTCCGCCATTGCGTATGTGTTTTTACTTACTGTAACTTGAAGAATGAAGAAGGAAGATCGAAGATTGACAATTAACGCAGCTCCAACGACCCGAAGAAGAGAATCACTTTTCTGGTTGGTGGTTGGGATTTATTTTGTTTAATTTATTAATCAAGACATTGAATATTCTAGAAAGGTTCACGAAGTTTTATAATAAACATATTAAATTAAAATTAAAATAAAAAATCAAAATAAATGAAATTTTTTGTTATATAAATAAATTGAATAAAAATTAAAAAAATTAATAAATTTGATATATTTTTAAGTAAATATTTTTAATAAAAATTTTAACGACTATAAATACATTGATTAAAATTGAATTATAAATAATATTTTTAATAATTTTTTATATATTATTAATTTTTCTATTAAATTTTATTAATATATTATTTTAAATTTTTTATTAAAATTTTTATTAAATTATTTTTTAAATAATTTCACATAAGTTTTGCGTGGAATATTCTGTTTCAAATAAACGTCGTAACTGGGGCGGGTCTTACCCAGTTTGAGTTGACTCACTTATGTCAAAAATTCTTTTTAGATTAATAAATATTCATCAATTTAATTTTAAAGTCATTCATATTGAATTATTTTAAATTAAATTAAATTATTTCAGATTTAAACTGAACAAATTTGTGATGTTGAAATTTTTTTATTAAATTAAATTAGATTTTATTTGGATAAATTAAATTAAATTTTTAAATTAAAATTAATTTTATCAATTTTATCTCAAATAACTATTTTATTTTTGAAAAATTATTTCATTCGCAATAGTTTAGTTTTTAGACTTCACATGAAGCATATTATGAGTAGAGTATAAATAATACGTTAAAGCTTGTAAATTCAGTTTGTTTATTATTAAGTCGAATTTAAATTTTAACAATTTAATTTATCAAGTAAATTGAGTTTGAATATCTTAATATTCGGATCAAATAATTTGTAAGTTTAATCGAGTTTTTAAATTTTAATATATTTTAATTATTTTAATTAAAAATTATTATTTTATTTTTATATATATTAATTTAAATTCAAACTTGAGTTTGAATACGTAATTGAGCTCATTTTTATTAAAAAAATCTAATTAAATAATTTTAAATAATTCAATTTTTATTTTTAATCAAACACAAATTTAAAAATTAAAATTTGATTAAATTTGAGTTAGAGGTGCGAAAAAAATTAAAAAAACTAAAAATTGATTTGAAATCGTAATATTCAGTTTAATTTGAATCTTTTTTTTTTTTTTAGTTTAGATTAAGTTCATATATTACATATATATATATATATATATTAGGTTTAGATTGAATTTCAAATCAAAAAATGACAAATTAAAAAAAAAATGAATCGAATTATATATTTTTTAATTTTAATTTTTTAAAAATTTTTATAAAATAAAATAAAATAAAATAATAATTTTATATCAAAATTTACTTAAATATATTACAATTTTATATTAAAATAATATATAAAAAATAAAAAACTAAATATCAATAAATTAAACTAAACCAATAAAATTTAATTTAATTTAGATCAAATAAAAGTTTGATTCAAATTCGGATCGATTTTAAAATTTTATAATATTATGCAATATCTAAAATAAATCAAATGAATCAAATCTGATCCGAACAATTACTATCTCTAATTTAAGTAAAATTTTAAGTAATAAATTTTGAGTCAAGTTCGAATTTGAATTCAAATTTTTCGTTTCGATTTAATTAGATTTTTTTTTTTTATGAAATCTGTAGACTGTCAGACCTATAGTTTTCAAACACAATCGTGCCTTTTGTATTTGTAACTCACCGCGCTTGGCCATAAAAGCAGGTTCAAACTTTTACAACAATCTATTTCGTCTCACTTTTTGTAAAGAAGGGTTGAGAATATGATCAAATGTTCGATCAGCATTAGAAACTTCAGAAACCGATTACAAGCACAGGAGCTCCAAAACAATCCTCGAGAAGCTCTTATACACTGGCAAACATTCTTTAACACCAAATGAAGATCAGGGAAAGCAAAAACTAGCTGTTGGCTAGGCATAGTTTCGCTGTACAAAGAGTCAGAAACTTGGTTTTCAAGAGACAAGCCTCAAAGTTTCAGGGTGAGATCTGGTGCTGAACTTTCCAAGTCTACTTGTTGAGTAACCTCCATAAAATTCATATTTGAACTTCCAGGCAGCTCAAAACCTGGATGACTATTACTATTACCTGCCTCAGCTATCTGACGGAAACTACCAGGCCACAACAGATCTGCCTCATCATCTTCCATGAATATGGGCAAACCCAAATAGCCATGATCAAATCTTGTATTGTTTCTTGAATCTGGTGGTCTTGCTGCTGGTACAAAGCTTTGGTGTGCTGAACCGTGTGCTTTGATTCCCAAGGACCCGAAAGAGGTTCCATGCAGAGGCAGAGTAGCCAGACTGGCATACCTCTCTGAGAAAATACTCATTCGCACTGCCCGCTTTGCCAATGTTCTTTCTCTTTTATGTGCATTCTGGTGGCCGCCAAGAGCCTGTGAACTAAAGAATTTGCGGTGGCAATAGTTGCAGGAAAAAACTCGTGGGATGGCTGACTCTGTAGTGCGCAATGCAGGGTCATTGCTACTCTCACTTGTGCTTGACAATGAGAGTCCTACAGAATCCCTCCCTCCTCCTGACTCATCCAAATTAAAGCATAGAGTTAAATCAAGTAAAATTGGCCGTGAATTTGATTGCATCTCTAAGGGGTTTGTGAGATGAGAAGAGTTAGCAAGGCTGTCATTGGAAGGAGCAGCTGATGTTTCTTGGATGGACAAGTTTGAAGCTACTTGGCTGCTAACATCAGATTCGTTTTCTGAGGCCTCAACTTCAAGGTCAATAACTGGTTTCATGATTTAGTTTGGGGTAAAACCTAATCTACACTACATTCAAGCAATTGAGTCAGTCGAACTAACATTCTTCAGCAACAGAATCATCTCCACCTGCATTTTCTGAGACATGAGGAATATTTGATGCCTTGTAGTTAAAACTTCAGTCAATGGATAGACAAATCAAAGTATAAACAAGCAAAAAAGTTGAAATAAAAATTAAATATGTAGTTCTAAATGTTCTTGGCCGTGTTACTGTACGGCCCCCATTCCATTTACAACTCCATCACTTCTAACTACTCCAGCAATTGCCAATTTTAGCCTGTTTTTACATAATCATTACCGGCTTTCCCTCTCTTAAAAACCCAAGAGCACTGTTTTCAAGGACGCTTCAATTCACCTGTTATTTTCCTCAGGATTCTTACAAGTACAGGTTTCAAAAGCATTTCAGTTAGGCTTGAAGAGGCAAAGAACAAATGCAAGTTAATCGTTTTTCCTACAATTCCAAGGGAAAGTAACTTCATGGCCAATGGTTTGGCTGATTTAGGAGTTGACAGGCAACAACCTTTTCTAGCTTTTTTAAGAGAGTTGGCGTGGTTGTTGGCTTCACTAAAAAATAGTGAAATTTATATATGAAACCGAATAGGTGATTGGTGCAAAAACCAGATAAAAGCAAGTGAATCATGAGTCACGACTATAAAATTGCATGCAAAAATCACATTAGTTTATAAAACACTTCACCAATACAGGAGAAGAGCTGCCGCTGATGATTAATAACGTTGAAATTGGATTTCTCCAAAACTTCTAAGATTCAAAACAGGAAAAGAAAGAGGAGAAAAAGGCAGAGAGTTTAATACCATGATGAACAAGTGGTTAGCTAGTTTTGGTCAGCTGGGGAATGACCAAACACAGACTGCTTGTGTCTGAAATTGGAGAAATCCATGTTCTTTTTATGGCTGATCATCACAGGACAAAAAACACTGAAACAGGAGAGTTGAAAGATAAAGAAAAAGGAAGGAAAAAGGAGAGTGAGAGGAAAGGAGAGGAAATGGGTGGGTATTTGATGTTTAATTATGGAAAAGCTAAGGTAAGAGGAGAGTGGGAGGGGACAGTGGTGGGACGTCAGACAAGTCAGAGAAAATAAATAAAAGGCTAATTTGTGTTGCGATAAATTACACGCACACAGTTTTCCTTTTTAAAAAAATTACACGATATGATTTAAAAAATTTCTAACGTAATATCTTAATTATAAATTTATTTTATTAATTAATATAATATTTAATTTTAATATAATTATTTTTAAATAATAATATGGTACAAATAAATAATTTATTTTTAATATTACTAACTGATAATACATAATAAAAATATAATTTTTCAAATATAATATTAATTAATAAATTTATAATTTAAATATTATATTAAATATTTTTAAAATTTAATAATATTAAATATTTTATTCAGAATTTTAATCTTTATAAAAAAACCAAACAATTGCTTCCACTGATATACAAGTGTATAGATTGGAGAAAATTTTTTTTTATCAATTATTGTGTAGGCCATCTCCTTCAAATTTTTTTTATAATTTTGCTTAATGATCAATAAACTTTTGTATCGTATTACTTAATAAATTAATTAAATATTTGTCAAGTTATTTGATAAATCGAGATAAAATATATGGTTTGATCAATTAAAATTCAAATACTCATTGTGAAAATTCATTTAAGTCATTTAATTTATTTATAAATATAAATTAAATTAAATTAACTTTAAAATAAATTTAAATTTTAGTCAATCAAATTTCAAATTTTCATTAATTATCTAATTAAATTTCACCCATATGAATTATTATTATTTATGTCTAATTAAAATGAAATAATTTAAAGAAAGAGTTTTTTGGAACTTTTTAACCTTAAATCACCTATTATCGTGAATAAAGAGTTTCTCAAAACCATTTCACACACAATTTGGGAAACAAGTCCAAGAGAGTAATTGAGAAAAAAAATCTAAAATAATCAAATCTTTAGAGCTCTCCAACAAGTCCATGAAAATATATTTGAAGAATAAAGTCTCTGGAACTCTAAAATTTCAATAAGGAATTTGAAGAACAAAGTTTCCAATAATTTCTAAATTGAAACTAAAATTAAAAAATTCTAAGAATTTCTAAATCGAGATCAAATTTCAACATTCCATGAATTCTTAAATTGAGATCATATCTCATAATTACAAGAATACCTAAATCTGAGATCAAATTCTAAGAATTTCAAAAAACTATAAATTTTGAGATAAAATATATTTAATTCAAGAATAAGACCCTTTAAGAGAATTTCTTAAATAAGAGATTTTTGTTGCTTGTACTTGGATAATTTAAAATTGTAATTTATCTTCAAACATTTTTTATTATATTTTAAAAAATATATGTGTATAATAAGTACACATGATATGGTCATAGATAGCATAGCATCAGCGGAAAAGAAATGGGGAATAGCAAAAACAAGTTAAAAACACAAAATAATTAGCAAAGTTGATGAAGAAAAGAGTTTTTGTCAATTAGGGTTTGAAGTGAAAAATAATTTCAATATGTAATCTTTAATCCAACATATTCGTATTCACATAGGATGGTACACCTTTAAATCGTCAAAAGAATTAAATCTAAAAAAAAAAAAAAAAGCTTGAAAAGACCCAACTTATAGTATAAAAAATTTATAGCTTCATTTAGCCTCACAAATAATTCTCACTTTCTCTCTCCACTTTGAAAAGTGTATGTTTAGATAATTCAATAATGCATAGTATTAAAGATGGCAATTTATATATTTATATCATATAAAATATAAAAATTTATATATTTATATTATATTTTATAATTTTATCTATATGAAAATATAAAATATTTTTTTTATTTTATTAAATTTATATATAATTATTACTTTTATATTATATTTATACCATATTATCGTATTATATTTTAAAATTATTAAATCTTAACTATTTTCATTCATAAGATTCATCCTATTTGTTAACTAATTAATCATTCTTAATTGTATCTAATACCAATAGATGCTTTTTTATTAATTTCTTGAAACAACCTTACCAACCAAAAATCAAAGGCACATGTCCCTTCCCAGTTGGACATTATTTTATTTTGCATTATTACTACTTTTTCTTTTATTTATTTAATCCCATTGTACAAGTTTTACTTACTTTCATGGTCTTATAAACGGACACGTCAATCAATTCCTTTTCACTCATCCTGGAGACATTTCTTTAGCTTTCTTTTTATTACCTTAAACAAATTTTAGATTTTTAGATTCGATGAATTGTGTGGACAAATCTTTTAAAAGATCAATTAGGTTTAATCCAATTCAATCTAATCCATGAATAAATTTAATAAACAAATTCTTCTATAAATATTCATGAATTTTTTTCTTAAATTATACATCCATTAAATCTTTCTAAAGCTCAACCGTTTTTGATTTATTAAATTTTTTAATTTTATCCACATGAAATTTTATTCAAACTAATTTTTCAATGTAATTTAAAATCACTTATAACTCAACTATTATTAATTAAAAATTATTAATATTTTTAATATTTAAAATTTAACACTTATAATTATTTTATCCTTCAAAATTAAATTTTTTTTAGACAAAAAATCTTGGGCGAGATCAATTTGATTTTCAACTTTAGCTTCAAATGGAGCACTTAGCTATATTCTTCCATTTTATATTGAAGTAGCCATGAGATACCTAACCATTAGGTCTTAGAAGCCTAAGCACATGTTTGATGAGGTTAAATGTTATTAATACTAAAAAGAATAAAATGTCTGGTGGCAATAAAAAGCAATGCCCCTTAAACCAATACAGTCTCGACGTATACTCCAATATTCCATTTGATCTAATTGAAATATGCACGTACAAAAAACAAAAGTGAAACGAACCTGTTCATTTCTCGAGACAAAAAGACTCGACTCTTGTTTGCACGTGACTCGATGCTGTGATTAGTGTTGGCAATCTCAAATACAATTCAATTACATTATACAAATTAAAAATATAAAAATAATATAATTTAAAATTTTAATAAAATAAAATAATTTATTTTATATTTTTATATCAATACAAGATATATAATTTTTATATAAAATTTGATATAAATACATAAATTATTAATATTTTATATTACATAAACGTACAAATGACTAGATCTATTAAAAATGGCAATTTAATTTTTAGTCTTGCAATTACAGACAGTTCAACCTTGGCGCCGATCGGTGCGCTTTCCCAGACGTCTGCTCAGGCTTTTGATGCAACTTCCGATCGAACTGGTCCCCCACCACCAGGCACCCACCATGCTCATCCACACGGCACTATAGTTGTTGTGGAGACATATAATAATCTATATAATTAATGTATGGCTAATGAAGTATTATTGGACATTCTTAATTGACTCTTATTATTTAGGCTCATGCTTCATTGCTTTTATCATTGTTTATTACAAAAATATAGCATATGTGCATACTGGTAAGGATCCACTTTATAGCATATTCTAAAATTATATGCAAAGCATATTTATAGATTTGTTAATGTAATGAATAAGTTGTTAACACAATGATATCGCAATTAATTTTAGAATTTAAAATTTTGAATTCGAATCTTATTTATAAATCAAAAGATAAAAAAATTGAACATTGATAATGAATTCCTATTATTGTACTCTCATGTTTAAAGTATGGTTTAATAAAAAATTATTTTTTATTTTTTAAGTATATATTTACACCCTTAAAATTACTTTTAACATCTAATTATTATTTACACCACAATTTCAAATTTTAAAAATTAATTTTTACTCAATATACCTCGAACCACATTTCTTATTTTCCTCAATTTTCCCAATTTCCTATTTGTTTCCAATTCAATCTAACTCCTCAAACCTTAATCCCAAAAATTATCCTGAAATTACAAGTTTTAGAGTTAATCAAATCACTAAACTTCAATTTAAAACTAAATTGTCTTTTATTTTGTTAGATTTTGGTTAAATATTGAATAAATTGAAAACTAGAATGAGATATTATTTGTGAAATCATGAATTTCGAAAATATAAATATGAAAGTTTATAAAAACTTTTAAATTTGCATTTCCGGAAGCTTGTAGAAGTTTTTGAAGATGCAAATTTGAAAACTTTTTGAAGCTTCTAAAATGCAAATCCGAAAACTTAAA